AGCAAAAAGAAAAAAAGGAGAGGTTGGGAACTTCAGTCACCCACCAGCCTGAAAACGGCCCTCAGCCCCTCACCCAGACTGGCCAGGCACCCTAGTGGGGACGCCCACCTGAAGGGGGTGTGACCGCTGCAAAGAGCCATCATCCCCTCATCCAGGCTGGCCAGGCAACCAAGCGGGACCCCCACCCTGATCCAGAACACCCTTCAGGGCAAACCAGCCGGCTCCCACCCATGCACCAGGCCTCTAGCCTATATAGTAAAAGGGTAATATGAAAACTGACCCTAACAGCAGAAAGACTGGGAATGACTGGTCACTATGACACACACTGACCACCAGGGGGCAGACTCTCAATGCAGGAGCTGGCCTCTGGTGGTCAGGTTGCTCTGATATGGGAGGAGCTCTGCTCAGCCACAAGTCAGGCTGATGGCTGCCAGTACAGCGGTGGTGGTGGGAGCCTCTCCTGCCTCCTCAGCAGTGCTAAGGATGTCCGACTGCAGTTTAGGCCTGCTCCCCCGAGGGCTACCAGGCTGCCAAAGGGATGTCTGATTGCCATCTTAGGCCCAACCCCCCGGGGAACAGGCCAAAGCCAGCAGGTGGTCATCCCCTGAGGGGTCCCAGACTGCAAGAGGGCACAGGCCGGGTTGAGGGACCTCCCCCCTGCCCCCCAGTACACAAATTTTTGTGCACTGGGCCTCTAGTAAATTATATAAATCTCTAATCACTACCCTGTACGCCTGAAACTAATACCATATTGAATGTCAAATGCAATTGAGAAATTAAAAACAAAACAGGGTTTTCATGACCGTAAGTGAAACAATACATGTGAAAATCTTCAATAAACTCGGAGACCTAGGGAAAGGAGAACTGGGTTTTGCCCTGGCAGGCGGGGCTCAGATGGGCATTCTCCCAGGCACTGAAAGGTCACTGGTTCGATTCCTGGTCAGAGCACATGCCTGGGTTGTGGGCTCGATCCCCAGTAGGGGCTATGGGAGGCAGCCAGTCAATGTTTTTCTTCTCTCTCTTCCCCTCTATCTAAAATCAATAAAAACATGTTTTCAAAGAAACTAAGTATCATTATTATTATTATGCTGTTGTTGCCACTCCGGTTCTCATCTTCTGTGTCCTCACTTATCTGAGACCTCCACGTTCTGAAAGCTCCTGTTCAATCCCTACCATGAAATCTCCCCGGATTCTAGAGCCCGTCTGGCATTTTTGCCATAAGCGTTTTGCTGTAAGCATCTTTGCCACAATCATTTTTTGTAGCATAACTAATTGGCCACAAGGCAATTTTGCTGTAAAAAATAATAAAAAATTAAAGAGGGGCATAAAAAGAGACACAATGAAACATGAAAAATTAAAAGGACTTTATTGCACAAAATGAAAATACATCATCTTCCACGTCTTCCAAATTTATTTGCTTGTTGATTCGTCTCCTCATATGACATCACACTTTTTCTTTTTCCGCAACAATTTCTTCCTTCAAGTCTGTTTCCAGCTAAAGAACCGGTAATGCTCTCGAAGACTGTTGTGTTGTGAATCAGTAGCTACCGCTCTGGTATTTGCAAAGCTTGATAAACTTTTGGTGTAGACAGGTGTGAGGGCTGACGGTGGTCCCCAAAGGATTTGTAAACTGATGCATGACCATTTTCTACAATAGGATGAAATCTGGCTCCCCAGGTAGTTTTGTAATCTTGCTTTCTACATACTTGTTATCATCCACTATTTTAAGGCCACCACGACTGCTCGTCACTGTATAGACCATTACGAAGACTGAGATTATGTAATGCACAAAGGGGAGTAACTGTGAGAACTTCGTTTATGGAGAAATGAAACCAAACTCACAACTAGGTTAAACACACGATGTCTGCCAAATTGTAAGCCAAACTATCAACTAGTCATTTTTATCTTTTACAGTGAAATTGCCTTAGGGCAAAAATGCTTATGGTGAAAATACCTAGATCCCCCCCTCATTTCCTCGAAATACCTTTTACATCTCATCCTTATAAGACAGCATCTACATATACATGGTGTTGTTCCTAAATTTTTAACATGTAGTCTGGACTCCTGGAGGCAGAGATGGGCTCTCCCATCTCTGTTAGTGCCATCATGCTCCCCAGGCACCCGAGTGGATGCGATGGTTAATCTTATCCATCAACCTGGTGAGGCCATGTTACCCGCACTGGCACCAGATATGGTTAAACGCTAGGCTAGGTGTTGCTATGATGGTACTTTTTGGATGAGCTTCACATGTACATCAGTAGACTTTGAGAAAAACTCCATAGTGTGGGTGGGCCTCAACTAATCCTTCAAAGGCCTGAAGAGGAAAATACTGATGTCCCCCAAGGAAGAAAGAATGCTGCCTCCAGACAGTCCTTGAACTTGAGCTGCAACATCAACTCTTCCCTGGGTCTCCGGCCACCCTGCCCTGCAGAGTTTGGACCTGCCAGTCTCCATCATCACTCGGTTCGGAGAACCACTAAAGAAAGACCGCTCCCAGACCTAGCACTTTCTGGTAATGACCTCCATCTGGCCTGTGCAATAAGAGAGTCACCTCTGGTTATGTGAGGAGGAGTGGCGAGGGGTGCCTGGGGAGGGCAGTGTGTGTGGAGGGGGCGGAGGCAGACAGCAGTGGGGCACCTGGTGCCAAGGCTCCAGAACCAGCTGAGCCAACACCATCTATCTGAATTCTAGCTCTGGGACTCGGCTGGTTCCTTAACTTGGGGGCATAAAGTAACCCCAGGGAGCCACTGGCATGCAATAGTCTGGGAAACACCTGCTGTGGACGGGCAGTCAACAATGCCCAAACCTCTCCTGCCCCCCCCCTCCCGGGATGTGAAGAACTCTCCCTTACAAAGCTGCTCACATCAACATACAGAGGAAATTTCTGATTAAGTTCTCACCTCCCCTTATTAAAACTAGGGTGAGGCAGTGGGAGGAGTAAATATTACTGAACCCAAAACGCACCATCCTCCTATAGGAAAGAGAAAAAACGGAGCATCTTTGCATACTCCGTGGACGTCTCCATCCTCGGGGGCTGGTCCACTCAAGGCAGGCCACATTTAATGACACGTACCGAGAACAGAGAGAGACCCAGCCCAGGCCCCTCGGGCCCATCACAGCCCTGGTTTGGGGGCAGCGCCTCTTCAGCACGTTTGTTTCTTCAACCTGCCGGCAGGGAGCACCCACTGGGTCGGGCACCAGGACACAGAGAGGAAAAGTCAAGGGGGAAACAAGCAAAGTGTGTGATCAGGGGAGAATGACACACACTGCTCAGGGTG